GGAGGGAATGACATGGACTTCTTTCTCCCCGTTTTGCAAGTTAATACCTATTGCATATAAAACAATTAATAATGTTACTGTGCTGCCAGGGTTGCTAACTGCTTTTATGCCTTAAATTAATCCACTGACAGTCTGGTTTCTCTTTCAGACTGAGAGGATAACTTTTTTTTTCTTTTCTGTTCCAGGACATTATTGAGACTGGTAGAACAATGAAAGCGCTACTTTCAAAACTAAAAGACAACAAACCAAAGATGGTAAAAGTTGTAAGGTATAACAATATGGCCACTTACTAATGTCATGTAATGAGAAGATATAGCAAAATCGTTTAGGTGAATAGTCAGTGTATGCTGGTGGGTGTTTGTGTTTGTTTGGTTTCAAGTTCAAGGAAAGAGGAAGTAGAGGCAGGAAGCAATCCTTATCCAGCTGGTAAAAAACTAAGTATTTATTAAATTGGGAAATTTACGTATGCACTATCACCTTTATTATTAAAATGAATAAAAAGGGTTTCCTGGCTCTTTTTGCGTAGTCCGTAAAGTCTGATGGATTCCCTGTTTCTTACCTCCTTGTGTTTGAAGGAAATTCAGCTTTTTTCATAGGTTTCCCAACACGTTCTCCATTGCCTTAATACTAGAACAACACCACTCAGAATTTTTCTTAATATTCTGAGTCATACAGGTTTTCAGAATCCAATAGTTTGTCAGCACTTGCAAGATGCCTTCAAGTGGCATTCTACATCTGCTTTTAGATGATCTCTAAAGGGAATTTTTTGGGAATATCCCTGTCTCTGTGAAGTAATCACAATGCTTTGAAAAAACAGTTCTTGTTTTATGTACCAGTTATGCTCCTCCTAGTGACTGTTCAGGAGGTTCTCAGTTTCTTCAGAAGTGCATAGGAAAAGCAAGAATGGATATGATTTCATGGAAAAAATCATAGTGATACTACACAGCTTGTGCTCTTCTCCCTCCCTCCCCCCTAAAGTCTTCACGTGCCACTTGAACTTGCTTATCCATCTGTGCTCTTCTAGTTTTCTGATACATTGCTACATGAAAAGATAATGATTTGGGATCCAGAATCGAAAAGAACTAAATGTAAAACAAGAGTCATCTGGACATCCAGAATGAACCTAGATCAGAGCCTTTCCGGCTGAACACTACTTCTTTCTATTACAATAATCTCATTGTTTTAATTTAACTGCATGATTGTAGAAGCTTATGCAGAGCAGTGGGAGAAGTGAAGTATACAGCTTAGAGCAAGACACATTTTAAAAAACATAACCTTCTCTGCTCTGCCTTACAGCCTGCTCGTTAAAAGAACATGCCAAAGTCCAGGTTACAGACCAGACTGTAAGTATTGCGTTCTTCTGGTTGTCCAAAATACAATTTCATAATTTCACTACATGCAGAAAGTCTGAAAACTGGCATATAAGTTTCAGGAAGACCAAGAGAAATGGGGAGAAAATACATAAAAATTTTTAAACTGACAACCAGCCATCCCGTGCTGAAACCTCACAACGATCGTCTTTTTTTCTCCCGGTTACTCTGAGTGCGGTTTGGTTACTTGTTACTACATATCAGAAACAGAATCAAACCTTAACTTTGTGTTGTTTGGCTTTGACCCTAAAAGGCATTTGTTTTGACTCTGCATTAAACTTGCCTTGCTCTCAAACTGAAAATCCGTACTGAGTTGCACTGCATCTACTTTGACATAAGTAAAATCTCACTCCCCGTCTCCTTCTCCCAGGACTACCTCATAAATAGGTTTTAAATAATTATTTCGTTCTTAAAATGCATTCTTTTAACATTTTAATTGTATTACTAACTGATGGAGATGGTATAGATTCTAACCTTTGTCATCAATTTACGGCTCTGATTTTTAAAGAAGCGTGCTAAGTACCTTGAAAGCAAGATGCTGTATTTGTTAGATATTACTCTTAAATAGCTGAAGCATGTGTTGAATACTGTGTACTTAAAAGCTATTTACACAACCCAAGTATAAAAAGAATTGTGTTTTATTACAGATATAGGCTTTGAAATTCCAGATAAATTTGTGGTTGGATACGCTCTTGATTATAACGAATACTTCAGAGATCTAAATGTAAGTACATACATGTGTGCCTCAACTGTTACATATATGACATTTACCACAGGTAACCAGCAAGAACATTATTGTATACTACGAGCTTCTCAACAATTAACAAAACTTCAAATCTGACTAGAAACTTCCATTGAAAGGGCAAACACATTATTAGTGTGCCAAACTGATAATTCAATGTAAATGCATAAAAACTTGTTTATGCCTTACCTTTTCATGAATCTGCTCCATAAATCTCATGGCCCAGCCATGCTGCCCTGAATCCTCCGGGACGGCTGACAGGATACAATCTGCTGGCCCCATCTGAAAAGAAAGTAACTTGTAATTTGGCATTTGTCTGTCTTGGTGAAATCCTATGTTGCTCTTTTCTAGTCAAGTCTTTCAGATGGCTCTGTGTGGACTGCATGTGAAGGTTTTTCCTACACTCCGTAACATGGTCCATCAACATCATTTTCCTTTGTTCCGTTACAGTCTCCTTATGCTGCACTGAGTAGTAGACTTGGAAAGGGCATAACTGATAGACAGACCTGATCTTTTCTTCCTTCCTTAGTTTTCAAAAGTACTTTCTTAAATCTGGTTAAGTGGAAAAGTTTTTCACTTGAAGGTCTTTTTAATAAGACAACCCAGTTCTGTTAAAGACACATACTGGATCTATGCTACTGCAAGACAATATGAAAAAGGACACAATAATTAGACAAACCTGAGCTCTTCAAAATATACAAATCTATAAATTACAGATGAGCTTGGAAGCAAATATTAACATCTCAATTTTACTTCAAGTAGTAAACCTGCAACCAAACTCACAAAGATTATTGTTCTGGTCTGTTTTCCTTATCATGCTAGAAATATAACTGAAAACCATTCTTGTATTTTGTTTGAAGGTAAAGATTGACTAAAGTTGTACTTTTATATTTTTTTAGCACATCTGCATTCTGAAAGAGAAAGCCAAAGAGAAATACAGGATCTGATAATATCAGTCTTCTGAAACTATAGTGGATGAATAGTAAGATGTAATCTACTAATTGTGCTCTTTTCTTTGAAGAACTACAACATTTTCTAAAGTTACTACTCCATATATTTTTTCCTATAATGATTACGTAAAGCAGCATAAAGGTGAATGAGTTCTGTTTAAGTTTCAGTGAAACCTGAACGGCACACTGGCCATGAAATGGGCACCATGTTCTGCTGGAATCACAGGGGACACAGCCAGGACATGTGTATGTAATTATGTTTGGGTTTTAGTTTACCATATGAAGTAACACATCATGTGTGTTGTATATAAACTGCACTTATTTTAACATGTGAGCTTGTGTGTGTAAATATAAACATGTACTTTACGTAACAAATACGCTAATAAGCATTTATGGACCAAACTCAGTCAACCGTGCAAAGTGCATACCAAATAGGAAAGAGATGTGTTTCTTCAGCTTAATGCAATTGAGAAAAGTAAACATTAAGGTAATGACACTGAGCTTAGTTCTTACACATTCCATGTAGCTTGGGGTGTTGTTTCTTTCTGAGGGATCACGTGTGGATTGTACCATTGTGGTGTTACCTGAAGCGCAGGTAACACTGATTACTGGCTGTTAAGACTGGATGATAAACCACTACAGCAGAGAATTGTGTCCCCAGTGAGAATGGGAAGCTGAATTTTGCTGCCTAGGAACCGCACCAAGCTTGAGGCAGCCTCTGACACCTCGCTGTTTCCTACCTGCTCTAAACAATTAAAGTAAGCCCTGAGACCTTGGGCTTTTCTTCCCCTTGTGAATTAGTAGCGAGCCAGGCAGCCGTGTGGAAGAGGGTCTGTTGCTGTCCTTCAGCTGTTACGAGGGATTACAGGGGCCCAGGCTTCGGCAGGCGTGCAGGGTGCCGGCCACAGCCCCCGGGAGCTGGGGCCGCGGCCTGTCACGCTATCC